CAGCCATTACTCACATGAAAATCAACAGGTCGATCCCAATATAAAGGCCATTCTTTGTGTTTATGAAGAGTTTGCTTCCGCTTGCTATACAGTTGACCCGGGTCCAAGGCTATAAAGTCTGCATCTGGAGCGCCATCATCCAGTACCTCCTCGTACTCCTAAACGCCCACTATTTAGGAGTTAAAGACGAAAATATACTTTGAAACCATGAAAAATGTTTACATTGTCTCTACTCATAAACTGTGCCGGCACAGCCTCTTCGCCTTTCTCGGCAACAGCTTCGTCAGCGTCGATGAGGGGCGTTTGTGCAGCCTAATTTCAGCAAGGTAAACATTTAAGAACAACTTTCTGAACAACGAACAAATTAATAAAAAGGATTTGAATTCACCTTACGGACTGCCACTTCCCCATACATTTTGAAAAGAGACTTCATTCCAGGTATACATTGAGAACTGGATGACGAACTTGGAATGTCACCTGGATCTAAACATTCAGCTATGAGTAAGGCTGCGTTTTCACTCAGCAAACAACACATGCCGCCCATTACAGCATGCTTTGTGGATGAGAACACACTGTCCCGGGAGGAGACAGGGGCTAAGTAGAGGAGCTAAAGAGCGGCAAACAAAAATGAACAGTCTGCTAGTGCGGCGGCGTAAGTGGCTAAACATCTTACGTTTCTCACAGAATAGTTAAATCCCTTCCAGCGCTGCTTGTCTTCTCCAACTCGATGCATGTGGTTCTCTGGGGAAAAAAAAGCTCATATTCCGCTTTCCGCAAGGCGAGACTTGTTTCGCTGCGGGAATCTCAGTTATACTCATGATCAGGGGTAGATCTTGGATTCCTTCAGTGAGAAAATTTCGCCTTGCGAGATGCGAAAAGTCGCTTTCTGCCCTTGTGAACAACACCCCAACCCTATCGTTCTCGAGCTTTCCTATCGATTTCCTTCGCTCTTCACGCCAACTATGAAGCCGCTTGATGGTTATAACTACGATAAATTTTTCTAAAAAGCCTGCTACTAAAAAAACTACTCTACCTCCCCATTGCATCGAACTGCTGTCGCGATCTTGCATGGAAGGTCCAGCTCCAACAAACAGCTGCGGCCGACTTTTGAGAGAGTCATTGGTCATGAGCACCTAAGCTGGTGATATTTTGATGAAATAATTGAAATCGAAGATCTCGAAAGCAAACATTAGCTGGTGCATATGACTTCAAATTGTGTGGTTTTTCATGCTCCCATCCAACAACATCGCTATGTTCCACCTGAAATAAAATTAAGAATAACAGAGCAAGGAACCCCTTAAGAACTGGAAGTGATAAGCAATGACAGCACGGTCAAAGGTGGCGGTAATGAATAGCCCTCCGTCTCACGATGACCGCAAAGCAGCTCATGACCCATAAAAACGTCAAGTAGAGTAGAAAAAGATATTAGTCACCTAACGTGCAGCTTTTTCAAACATCAGCTTTTTGAAAACTTCTTTTGCGCGACTTAACGAAGCAATGTTTCAGCAGCTTCTAGATTTTGCGAAGGAGAGGAAGTTCCGCAGCACGTGTGAATTTACCTTTTCGATTTCCCTTTCCACCCACCTGGGCAATTCGTGGCTAAAGTGGTGGGGACTACCTGCGCATCTCTCTGCCAATTGGCGCTCTCTATGCTGAGCATGGAAAAGCCTGAGGCCTCACACAGAGGCCCAGAAAGTTGTTATCGCGGAACTATTTCGCGGCGTAATCGCTTTCATAAAGGAAGATTGCAAACAACAGGAGCGGTACCTCAGGATTTTCATCCGGGAGGCACGAACCTGTTGGATGAAATAAAGGGTTCAGGAGATTTAAGCTTATCCCACCTTTTCCGACGAATCTGAATTGTGCGAAATCACAAATCACACTATTTACAGCCTACCCATACCTTCCTAGGTTCAGGCTTGGTGCCATCGCGCTTGAGTGCGTTTTAATACGTCGGCTGACCAACCGTAACGATCGTCGCGCATTAGTACTTATCGATTATCCGATTCTGCACATGAAGCAGATAAGATACGAATAAAAAGGGCTCACCTCCACTTCATCTGCTACGTCATCTATGTCTGCCAGAGATTCCCCCACCGAACACAGCTCAGAGTCGCACTGATCACTCAAATGCTCGGGATTTTCTTTTTGAAAGCCTTCATTCAAACCTGAACGTTCAAAACTTCGATCCTTTAAAAAAAGAGCACTATCAAAGCCAACCACAGGAGAAGGACATCCTCGTAAAGTCGCAATTCTGTAGAAGAACTCCAGGCTGCACGTTCATAGTGATCTCAGTCTCCACGTACGCATTTGTTTGAAAGTTCATCAGCTGATCGAAGTCATCAAAATTTGGCGGCCTACGCAAAGACGTTCGATGCCGTTTTCACAATTCACCGCCAGCGAGCCCCGCTCCATCAATTCGCTAGCGGCTGCGGCGCGTTGTGAACTTCGTGGCACAACAACTCGTTTCGACCTCAACACGTTGACGAGCAGAGATCAATCTTCGCCTCAAAACGTTAAGAGCCCAAACGCCGCACCGGAAGTTCAGTGGACTTCAGAGATATTATTTTTATTGTTTTGACAAAGGCGATAAAGTGCGCGAACGCTTAGATCGGCACTGTCTTCTGCACCAAACAGAAAGAAAGACAAAATTTACCTTGATAGGTTGTTTATAGATTGTCTTCGTGATTGAGTAGTAAGAGACAGTTGCAATTTCTGGCGGGCAACGTCCTTTATCCATTCCTCATCTCAACAATGGGCCTCAGACTGGCAAAGCCAAGAAACGTGAACAATAGCCCCGAGTTGTGATGAGCCATTCTTTGACTTACGACAACGAGTCTTCTGCTCTCCGTGTTTCTGCATCATAAATAGTGCATTCGTTTGTGCTGTATTGCCGAAGGGTCTACTCAGCTGTCGCGCTCTAAAAGGAACTGCGGCGCAGGCTGTCGCAACCGCCGTAAGTTATTGATCATTAGAAGCTGCGGTGTGTTCATCGATAAAAACCTTTTTTTCTCTTTTCTTTTACCCTTTCATCGGTCGACTAAACTACGTTCTTTTAAATTTCTCAAATTATCGACGGTTTTTTGTGCCTTGCATTGTTTGAGAAAGCAAGTCACCAGGAAGCGAGATTTTATCGAGAAGGCATGGCCTCAGTTTAGGTGGTCCGAATTGCTCTCGCCGTGTACGGCGGCAGAAAGTCTAAACGTGGCATGGTCGACGGACTACTTGAACTCAGCCCTTTAAACCGCCTCTGCGCTTCCTCGCGGGTCCCTCTCCTCTCCAAGGCTTAGTCCTAGGGCATTCACCCGTTCTCTAATCGCCTGTGCTCTAGCCATCGCGGCAGGACCATTGAAGGAAAATCATTCCCAATCCTGGGCTTTTTCCACTCCACATAATTATTCATTTTTGTCCGTCCATCATCCACTCTGGCTCACCTCTCAGTGAAGTCTTCTAAAGTTTTCTTCATCGTCCTCTCCGCACCGCTAGTGCCCCAAGTGAGTGCCGGCCTTACCTTCTTATTCCGCTCCCTCTGAGGGTCCTCCTGAAGAGGTCGTTTTCCAGAAGGATGACATCTTCTCAATTGGTCAACATGTTCAACCTTCTTCCCGTCCCCTAATGTACACTGTACGTATTCGATCCTTCTTACATCCAAGCCATATTACAGGGTCCATTTTCATGTCTGTTCTACCGCAAGTATAGCCTTTGACGTCCTTCTTCCAATTTCCTTTCTTCAACCTTGTTATCATACGCTCTTTCATTTGTCCATCCGGCGGTTAACACCGGGTTGCTAATCCAACGAGATTTTGGGTTCAAATCTCTGGTCGCCAGTTTGTAACAGGCTGGCAGACAGTTGGGGAATGAATTATTTACTAGAGGAATACATCCTTTTTATCACAACATTCCCCATTTCTTTATTGTCACCCTATTCATTACAACCGCATCTACTGCGCGTTATTGTCTTTATGTCAGACCCGCGATTGGATCGATTCGTCAAATGTGAATCGCGCGACCGGCGCGCGAACATCGCGCATTGACATTGACCGAATCGCTCCCAATCGCAGTGACATCGCCATTCCATCTACGCTTGACATCCTCCACCCTGAATTTGGTATCCACCGCCCACTAACCGCTCAACAACACATATTATTTTGTATTTTGATATGGACGGTGTTTCTTAGATGCGAAAATTCACTAGATTTTGTCGTTCCAGAAATGGATGCTGAAGAGCAAGACGTCAGAGTTACAGCTCTGAATGGCTACGATTGGCCGGTTGCTCTTCCGAAAAACATCCATGAAGCAGACCTCCCTATGAGAGATATTTCTTTCCAAGCTGTTTGGACAGTGTCAAGCTGCAAATCTGGTAAGACTTTCTGTTGTTGCAGAAATGATATAGTAGGAAATCAAATTGCGTTGGAATAGGTTGAACGCCTTCGCCTCGACCGCCTTCTCTCCCAGGAACTAACTATTATTTCAGAAGGCGCAAATGGTTATACTCCGAGCTGTGTTTTGTGTCTTCCATGACAGTGTCGATAAATATTGGCAAAGTGATGGTCCTCAGCCACACACAGTGACAATTGAGTTCCCGCGGAAGACCGATATTTGCTTTGTTATGATGTATCTCGACTTAAGAATGACGAAATCCTACACACCAAGCAAGTGAGCAGGAAGCTTGCGCTTTGAATTTGTTACTGCTTTGTTTCGTGGTCACTCAATGTTTCAATTGTAGGATAATCGTATATCTAGGATCATCCTTGATGCACCTCGATGATGGGTTACCTGTAGAATTCAATGAGCCTACTGGCTGGCAGGTTCGTTTTCTCAGTTTTCAGAACTTCATTCTATGTTTTTTTTTTTTTTTTCTTTGCTTCGCTTCTTCAATGTTGGCATTTGAAACAATGTGATGAGTTTACTAAAACCAGTTATGTTTTCTACAGCTGATTGATTTGCGATCTCGCCGAACAAATAGACCGTCCCGTGCTATGGTGGTGCAAATACAAGTGGTGCACAACCATCAGAATGGACGCGACACCCACATACGGTTAGTTTCTCCAAAACTGCAACCTGGATGTCACTAGCGGTTACAGAATATTTGATTTTTCGATGATCGCTACCCCTCTCGATGCGTCAGCGGCCAATTAACTAGGCCCTTGAAATCGCCCTCGATCTCGTGCTCGTTTGCTCTCGCCTGCCGCCTTTTCTGCTTCACAGCGGCTTATGATTCCTGGCGATCTACACATCCTCCTACTTTGGCGCATAATGTAGTTGGCTGACAGTCCTCTTCATCAATCCGTGACTAGTCCTAACAGCTCTCACCTTCTTGCTGGATTTGAAGCCTGTACGCAAGGCACCGCTTCTCTCACCGTTCATGGCTACTGACCTTTAACGCGAGAAACAGGGAGTGTTCAAGTGAGTGGTAAAGAGTACTTTGTAGAAGTGAAAAAAAAGGGTGAAGAACCTCTGAGCGTGTTATGTTTCGCTGCCTCCAATACTTTTGCCTGATAACCAGTGCGGTCTCAGTTTTCACTTCGTTGCAAGTAGAGTGGAGTCTACCTGTAGCAGCTACTCATCTTCCACTTATGGTTAGGGCTGTGCTCATGATAGAATACAAGGTGGGAGATGATCCGTCTGGGCCGTATGCTGAATGTTGGGTAGGGGCTGGGGTCCCCGACCCGCGATGCTGAATGTTGGGGCTCCCAGCAGAGTTTCGTCGCGGGACCTACAGGTGACTGGCCAGTCCTTTAATTCTGTGATGAAGTTTTTGTCTTTTCACTGTTCTAGATTACAGATTCGTCCACGCACACATTGCCATATTGAAGTAATACACCAATATGGCACGAAGTAATCGAAGGCGCGAACCAAACTTCAGTCTAAAGTAGTGAATGGACAGACTGGCAAGATTACGACAATGCAGTTAGACGTACACGAACGCTCCATTATGTGAAAGAATCAAAGGATAAACTAAAGCAATTACAACAACATAGCTGCATATACGTGGACAAATCTACAGTGTAAAACAGTAAAAAGGTGAAAAGTAATCGTAAAATCAAAGGACCGGTCAGTGGCCGCCCGGTCCCGCGACGAAACTCTGCTGGGAGCCCCAACATTCAGCATCGCGGGTCGGGGACCCCAGCCCCTACCCAACATTCAGCATACGGCCCCTGAAATGCATCTACTGTATTTATCCTCATTTTGTAATGAAGTGGGCAAGTCTCATTGTGATTGGCGTTTAGGCTAGCTTGAATTAGAATGATACATCATTAGCGGTGGGTAGAAAACGAAGGGAATATAAGATCCATTGGAATGGAAATACAAGGCTTGCCAATAACTGGTTATGAAGCGCCCTCCTGTGTGCCAAGTGAAGTCAGTGTTGTTGTAGAGCCTCTTTTATTCGTCTGAGCCTGTTCTCTTAGGTAGCCGCTTTCCCATGCAAGCTAGCATTTCTTTTACGAAGGAGGGAATCGTGAACAAAAAAGTGAACTATGGCTTTTATTTACCTATAGATCATAATTTCAGACACATTCGCGTACTTGGGCCTAGCCGATCGCGATTTGCCTCGCACTCCCGACTGCATGCTGGTCGACCGGGCACCGTTGATGACTTTGTGTTACCCCCTGTTTCGGACCTTAACAAGCTTATCAATAGCTGTATGGCGATCCGATAGCGGCGTTTTTGAGTTTTTTTTTACGGTCCTTAAGAAGTCCAGATGTTTGTGTACATATCGTTAGCATTTTTCACTTTCCATAACTCGCAATAATTTATGTGTTTTTCTCTCTTCTTTTCATACCGGTTCTTTGCAAATTGCAAATGTTCAATGTAATTCCATTTTGAAGGTGTATAAATACTTTGTGCATATGTCAAACACAGATAAAGTAGTCGATATTGATGATTTGGTGGAAATACGTCCACTTGATTGAGGGATGTCAGGATGATCATTTCGCTCTTCAATGACTTTCCGAGTCTAGCCGACGTCCAAGTCATTGTCTAGTCAAGTTTTGGGCTCTCATTTTCCCAGTCAGGTCTGATACTAACCAGTTGACCAGTTGTTTTCCGATGGCTGAAGAGCATTTTGGCTCGGGGAGGTTGGAATCATGAAAGTAATCGTCCACGGAAAAGTCATGATTCTATCTCACCCATAAATCGCTGGCTTGACGCCCATCATTCACCTCTGGATAGAAAAGTAAAAACTGTTTGTTTTCGTAAACAATTCGAAAATTCCGGAGGACAGTTACGCGTTTAAATCCTCGCCGCACATCTGTCACATATGTTGGCTACGGGAGCGATTCCACTAGGTTGTTGAATTGCCTTCACTGAAAACCCTTCTTGAATTTTCCAAAACGTCGCCTGAGACGTGGCCGCGCCAGGGCACATTTCTTTCCATACTCCGCCTTTGGCTCCGCGCGCCCTACGACCATCCTTAGAGTGTGGTTTTCGTAAGTGTTTGTTTCTCTTCGGAAACTGAATCTTTGTGCGTGAAACTTTGTATGTTGTCTCTAGTGATCACAACTAATATATTCATATCATTTGGGAAAAATCGCGGATTTATCGGCCATCGATATTCTTTAATTTTGGTATAGCCGAATCTTCTTTACCAGGATCGTAACAGTAATTAATCACCTAAAAAGTTCCTTCTCGCTTTCCAAATGAGAAAAATGAATTTCGAAAAAAGACCCGTTATGTAATGGATTGGACCAGCTCCGTAATATTAACTCAGTCAATACTCGAATGCGGTCCTAGCGGCTGCAGGTCTCAGCTCTGACCGGACAGGAATAGCAAAATTCTATGCACCGTGCGGCAAGGGTTAGTCATCGCCCGAACTTCATCTTCTGGAAGGCGTGTATACAGTGACCTCGAATCCTCGATTCTGTTGGGGCAGACCATAAGTCTCCATGTGCACTGCGGTCCAATTGTGGTAAAGTCAATCAAACTCTCAGAAGGTGCCATAGGCAAGTATGTACTACATCTCTGGTTGATATTTCGCTCCGAAACAATATGCTCTTCGAGCAGGATCCAGCACGAGCACATACAGTAGCGTCAAATTGGTTTACTAACGAAAACGATTTCCATTTCCAAACATTTTTATTTTTCTTGCTTGAAAACGTCCTCTCAAAAGATTGATTGTGCATTTGTTTTTCAAAGAAAGGTTTCACCACTGCATGAAATAAATAAAGAAATAAATAATTCAGTAAAGCCTTCAAAGACATATTACCACATGTCTTGGTCTTGTACTTCAAGACACTTCTGAAAGTTGCGTGCCGAAAGACTTGCCGGGGCCGAACCGAATGATTTGCGATAGGAAAGGATTGCCATTTTCCAGACGGTGGCTCATTGGTAGTGCAGGAGTCAAAAATGCCTGCATCACACAAACAAAAAATAAGCGAGTAAGAACTTGGATTATTTGAAGGTAATTCCGCGAACACGTATATAATGGCGCAGTTCCCATGAATTTGCGTTCGACGGGGGGGGGGGGCAAAAAAGAAAGTCCAACCTTCCTCCCACATTGACGAATAAATATTAAACACGTGCTAGATTCAAGTCAAATGAACCAACTGCAAATGAATGAGAAAAACTTTTATGAGGCTTCTACCCTGACAACGACATCAGAAGATTTTGTTTCGAGAGCCATCGTGCACGGTACGAGTTCAATGAGGACGGATCGTGGACAGTTACGACATATCTGAAACGATGGTCAAAAGCGGGTTCTACATAGTTAGAGCTAGAGTCTCTAGGAAGCTATCCATCGCCAGTTGACTGTTTGAAGAGATCATGTAGCAGTCTCAGGCTGGAAGATTACGGTAAGCCTCGTTGAGGTCGTCGCGATGACAGATGACGTCACATATCCTGAAGGGGGTAAGGGCAGTGAAGGAGGGAGTGCTTCTACTCATGGGGACGTCTGAGGAGGTATTCTGTTGTAAAACACAAAGCGTGCACTTACTTCTGAGGAATATTCTGTTGTAAAACACAACGGCACCCTGTGCGAAAAAATGGTGGGCTGATGGGCGTTATTGGCGAAGTTACTGTTTAGCCACCTCCCGTTTATTTGATTCGATAAGGGCGGGAGTCGAATCAGGAAGGTAGCAAAGCTCATTCAACGGGGTCTTCATGACTGTTGTTACGCGTTGTACGCAGGGAGGGGGGCGAAGGGGGAAGGGGCGGGGATTTACAGTTGTTGACGGCTGTTCAGATCTCCACAGTTATGAAGACCTTGTTGAATGAGGCTTTGCTACCTTCCTGATTCGACTCCCGCCCTTATCAAGTATCAGATTAGGCTATTTATTCAACAATCTCCACCATGCTGAAGGGGATAAAACGCGTGGCGCACTCCGCTGGGTGTCATCATCGTTGAGCTTTGCGTCTTTCACTTTTATCAAGATGGATTCGATAGTACACTAAGCTGTCAGCCGACAGAACGCCGTTTATGGATGGAAATTCATTTGCAACCAGAAATGACGGGCCAGTGCAGACGTGGTCTTGTTTATATGTTTGATCTTTAGGTAGACTTTATATGGCCAAGCGAACACACGGGCTCAGTTCAAAGAAGGGGACGTCCCCAGGGATTGGGTGTGTTTTCGCCGAGCTCGGCCTGCCATATCGCTCCCGTCCATCAACACTTGTTTACAAAATTCAATTAATGCGTCAGTTATTCGCGCTGACCAATTTGCCACACGGTCCCTCTGTCGGCTACAGCCAACGGAATTGAATCTGATAGATTGAATCTGAATCCTTGCTCATTCATGAATACTCAAGCCGTTTTCCTTTCTGAGGTATCGCCTGTAGAATTGTATAGGGGTTATCTCATAGTTTCCTCACAGAGATTGTGGAACTTGTTGAAGCTTCGCACTCGAAATTTCATATTCTGTGGAGAAACACCATGGAACTTCATTTTTGACATGAAGAGTGACCAAAAACCGACCTGAGAAGAAACTTTGGATCTACTGGGCGCCGTGGTGAAATCCACGAGATGGGAAGGCCTTATTGTTAGTTTCTCCCTCTATTTCGCCTCACTGAAGCAGCAATGCTGAAGCCAGCCCAGTCTTCAAAAGCATTCTGAATTATTTCCAATTTTTTTTTTTTTGTAACGACCGCAATTTTTTGCTCATTGTGCAAAAAAGATCTGCCTAGATTTCATAAGTATTGGGGTACGGTATTTCCCGTTCGCAGTACGTTCGAAAGGTCTTGAAAGTCGTTAAACAACCGTGTTTGGAAACTGGATAATTGTTCCTCTCCCATAAACTACTAGTTCAGTGGCTCGAGACAATCCTCTACAATAAGAATGAAAAGAACGAAAAGTTGTGCCTGTTCCGGTAAAAAAAATCCGTGAATCTTCGAAAAAATTATAACTTGTTCAAATTGTCAGTTGTCCGTAGAACTGTCACAATTGTTGACGGTGAGAATTCGCGCGTTTGTTTTGTGAGGTGCCACGAGTGTTCCATGATGTCCCAAGGGAAGTGGTTTCCAAATGATATTTTCTGGAGGTAATTTCCATGCCAGTTGATTTACATATGGCTTTGGTGATCGACTTGACGTTTTTGCAGGGAGGATGCCGATAAAATCCTGGGGCAGGTTACTCTTAACCCTTTATGTTTCATTTATTGATTCCGTTTTCGTCAAAACCCCCCCCCCCCCCCCCCCCACCCACCCCCCCCCCCCCCCCCCCCCCCACCCCTTAATTGTAATGTAATTATTCGTATAGTTCATATGTCATGGGTGTTTACGCACTTGCTCAAAATTCTAGCTTCCCATAGATCTGCTTCTTTCTTCACATTTTCTGTGCACAAATTTCCTTTTTTTCTTTTTTCGTATTTAGCAGCATTGGTTGATGCATCCCCTCTCAAATGCAATATTTTTGGGCGCTTTGTTAATGTACTTCGAATGGATAAAGAGATTACCTGAGCTTTTCTGCCCGGAAACGTACCGCGTTCTAGATACGAAAGTCACTTCAAGCATGAGATAGTTGGGAGATAAAACATCAGGCAGTATCTGTTGTCTTTTGAGAATGTTCTACGTAGTCGAAGTTCAATGCAAAATACGTGTTATCACTTCAAGGGAGATTTGGACTGGAAAGGAAAGTGACTTCGGGAGCGGTCAATGCTATGTTAAATACAATGTTTTTATGACTTTAGGAGTAACTAAGTTACGTCTGGGTAGGGGTTTGAGATTAAGGGCAAACCCCAGGATTAGCCCGACTAGTGGGAAGGATACCACGAGGAAGATTTTGGGGTTTGTACCTTCATAGATCGTGCCAGCTTCGTTGCCCAAATTACCCCATTAGGGCGTTAATCCATTACGAACCTGCAACCATTGACCCTTGTTGTAACCCTTCCCACCACCAGATTACGGATGTAGTAGACAAAGCGATAGCTGTTATTCAACACCCGCTATCTCCCATGGTCTGTGTCATTGTATCGGCACGAATGTCTTCGCCCATCGTACCACAGCCGGCGCGGTACTTTGGACCATTTTGGCGTTTCCTGATGATTCTCTTGCTCGGCTTTCCATTTGGGTTCTTTCGCTGCTTAGTATCACTGTGAAGCCCTTATACACACTTTTATCCGGTGATTCTAAGGATTTAGACCCTCGATGCGTGTAGTAGGTAGCCGTGGGCACGGTTACTATGACACTCCACACAAAATAAGAAAACATGAGTGTCGTTCACATTTGTTT